TGTTGAGGCCAATGATTCCTCTGGTAGCCTTGTATGCGATAACATTAACCCTGGAAGGCTTCCAGTGGGAGCTGACCTAATGAAATGGCGAAGTGACAGAGTGGACGAGAATTCCTCGTTCATGACGATAATCTTCCAGTGTCCTCGCAAGTAATCTCTCATACGTACCCCTCGTCATTCCAATAACTTTGCTCTATTGCACCTCAAGACTATCAAATATTCACTGGTCTATATCAGTCGACTGTGCAACCCCCTACCCCATACACTAACGGACCCAACAAGCCAGATATGGAAATTACTAAATTGTCAGAACATCCTGAGTGTAAGGCTCTACTACTTCAAGAGTTGAGTTAAGAGATATAAGATTAAAATGAAAAGTTGAACCATTAGTTGAACATAAACTACTCAGCATTAACCTGGCTAGCGAAAGATCAGATACATTCACATGGAATACTCTCCCAAAGCTGACGCGCTTCAGAGCCCTCGCTCAAACGCCTATCGCTTTGACAGAAACTAGGAGTACTCCAATACTTACAATAGGATCCGGGCATGATAGAATCACAGTAAGCATCACCAACAGGACACTCCGAAACGCTGGAAGCAGTTGTAGATGGGGGAGCTGTAGTCGGAGGAGTTGTGGTCGTAGTAGGAGGAGTTGTGGTCGTAGTAGGAGGAGTTGTGGTCGTAGTCGGAGGAGTTGTGGTACTAGTCGGAGGAGTTGTGGTCGTAGTCGGAGGAGTTGTGGTAGTAGTCGGAGGAGTTGTGGTAGTAGTCGGAGGAGTTGTGGTCGTAGTCGAAGGAGTCGAAGTGCAATCACATGGGATACTCTCCCACAGCTGACGCGTCTCAGAGTCCTCTATCAAACGTCGATCGCTCTGGCAGTAACTAGGAGTACTCCAGTACTTGCAATAGGATCCGGGCATGATAGAATCACAGTAAGCATCACCGACAGGACAACCCGAAATTTCAGAAGCCAGAACAACCTGTTCTGCCGTAGACAAGGGCACGCTGAAGTATGAGACAAGCGCAATAGCAAGTGTTGACGTCACCGACATGTTAAGCACGTAATAACAAAAAATAACTGAAGACAATAAACGTACACCATGGAACACTTCCCTCCAAGATGAGAGGAAACAAAAACATCAGCCTGTAGAGCTTACACACCTATCAGGTTACTGATGCTATACAGAAACCCCCTCAATTCCACTTACCAACTGAGTACACTATGACAATAGAGT